CAGGTAAAGAGTGGATATTTCCACATATTATTAAAATGAATTAATTTTCCTTATGTTTTTCGATGTTAAACATTCTCAATGTTAAACATTCTCTTTTTTGTTGTCTTTTTCAGAACCTTCTAGAATGTTATAGAATCAGGTCAATACTATTTCATTTTCAAAAGGTGCCTGTACTAAATATCAAATTAAGAAAACAGCAATATTATTTCATGATTTTCTGGGAAGATGCAAATAATTTTGAACTGAACCAATTTTTAGAAAAATCTATAATATGGATCGGAATTTCTAAAAACTTAGCAAATTATGCAAAACTAAATACGGAATAGACTATATATGGCAAATTCACTAAGTACTTTGTAAATATTCGCAATTTCCTTAGAAAGTATACAACTGCTTAGCGTGGAATAGGAATAATTCTGACAGCAATGTTTTGTAGATAGACTAATCCGATGAAAGAAATTCAACAGTTAAGGAAACAGCAAAAATAATCATATTTATAAGTCGAACAATTGTCGACCTTTTGACTAAATAGAAGCATGATGAGAAAAGATGTTAATGATCGAAATTTTCGGGCACGCCACTCAACGAGAAATAAAAAAAATAAAGTGGAACTTTTTTCGGGGAATTTCTTTTTCGGATGTATTATATTACTGAAGAGATCTGCTAGGGTGGGCCCTCGTTGTTTGTCATAACTAAGTTTGTAGAGCGTTTATAGAAGCCTTTTGCTGCAAATTGTATTTACTGGGTCTGCCCAAATTCCTATTCATACCTAGAATGTGTGAATTTATTTTAAAGAATTTATCTTAACTGGTACTTTCGGTGTTATTGTCTAACTTTAAATGAAAATGCTAAAATGACGCATCTAACGTTATGCTAAGGTGCGCGGTTAAATACAATCTAATATACAATAAATATTATTAGTTTTACTGTCAATATTATTATTTCTGCTGTTTTCTTATCTCTGGGATTTCCTTCACCGGCCTATTATTTGTCCATATAATAAGTACAAGCATACGTCGAAAATGTTTTTATATATATATATATATATATATATATATATATATATTATACAGAATAAGTATATATATATATATATATATATATTTTATTCAACTGATGGCTTTTTTCAACTGATGGGGAAAATGTCCGACTGTTACAGAATCAGTCGGGTTTTCGATCCTGGCTTGAAGCAATCGGATGTCTAGCCTCACTGATGACCTGTGATACAGCGAAACAGTCAGTCAGTGGAGGACTATCACGGAAAACATATTGAATGACGCTATACAACTAGCACAACATCTAAAATCACGGACGGGGATATTAAAATAATCAAGCACTGCCGTAAATCTCTGTTGTTTCACAATAATGAACCATGGGTAAAAAAACAAAATCACGACCTATTTGATGTAACAACAATGGATCATGGAGACATACTCATTCTCTCATACCTAGCCAGGATTCTACAGAAAAAGGACACGGGACTATATAGAGATGGCGGATTTATCCTGATAAGAGAACCCAATGGCCCCAAAATTAGGGAGAAAATAGTAAACGCTATAAAAACCATTGCATTCAAAATGAAATAAACTCAGGTACAGGAAGAGTAAACTTCCTAGACGTCAGTCTCAACCTGAAAAATAATACATACGAACCGTACAATAAAGATAATGACACCCCCAACTTACGTACACATATCCTTCAACCATCCACCTTTAATCAACAAACAAAAACCCATATCTATCAGTCACAGACTATCTGAAAACTCATCTAACAGACATTTTCAATAAAAAAACACCATACGACGAATTACTAAAAGAAAGTGGATACACACAACAACTACAATGCACACCTCCCCAACCGAAACGCAAAAACAGAAAAAGAAATACTATTTGGTTTAATCTAACATACAACAAAACCATCAAAGCAAACATAGGAAGGACATTCCTAAACTTAATAGAAGACTAATTATAATTAGGACTAATTTTAAAAGAAGTAAATGAAAGAAAAACGGAAAAAAAGAAAGAGATTAAAGAATAGCGAGGAGACAAGTAAGAGAGAGGAGGAGGAGGAGGAGGAGGTGGGAAAGGAGAGTATATAGGGAGTGGCCATGTCTAGACATGGGAATGGTGTGAGGAAACATACATATGGAAAATGACCTGATTTAATCAGTAAAATAAAAAAGGAAAATTATTTTCAATAATCTTTTATTAACAAAGTACTATTCATCCAAAATTAAAGGATATAATTATATATTTATATTAATGAGACAGAATTCCCGAAATTAATATAATAAAATATTAAATGATTAAAAAACATATAATGATTTAGATTTAATTATTTTCATGTTAGGAGATGTATCATTTAATGTACTTCATTTTAAATTAAAAAGAACATATATTAACATATACTAAACTATTAGTATCTACAAGAAAATAAAACTTTAGAGAAGATTTAATATTTTATATAAAAAACCAATAATAGAGGAAGGGTAATTAAAAAAGGAAAAATCTACAATTAGAAGAATAAGACAGTGGGCAAAAAATTAATAAAAGCAATATATAAATTATAATTAAGTAAATAAAGTACTAATTAATAAAGAAAAATAAATAAAAGTACTAATTAATAAATAAAGACATATAACGAAAATTATATATAATAATTAAATATAAACAATATATACAATTATTATATATTTATTACATTATAAGAATTATTATATCATTATTAAAATATTACATTATTGCATAATATCATTATAATTAAATATTACTAAATAATATTATATTAAATAATAGTAAATAAAATATTAAAGGTATTAAAAATTTATTAAATATCATTATAATAAAAGATACTACTTAAAATGTAAATACCTCATTAAACAATATTATTAAATTGAATTATTAAATACATAAAATTATTACACACAAAAAATTCAATACATATCCATATATCATACTTCAATGAGACATATTAATATTAAATTTCAATATATTAACATCACTGTACTACATATCATTTATATTATATTAAATAATACTATCTTTATTATTAATTATATGAACACATCATAAAAAATCCTATTATTTTAATTAAAATTACAAAATTATTTAATACCTTTATCAGATATTATTATTAAATTTTATTACCAAATATTATTATGAATATTATTATTAAATATTACTACATAACTACAAATATTATGACACAAGTACAACTAATACCATTATAATTATATTTTAACTACCTAATTAAACAATACAATAGTATTATACAAATCCCTATGTTATTATTCTAAAATACTAAATATATCACTATAGTACTATACCATTATATACTATCATTATATATAGGAACAATGAAAGAGAGATATATAATAATTATATATATATATATATATATATATATATATATATATATATATATATATTATAAAGTAAACCCATTAAAAGAAGGAACGAGAAAAGCGGTAATTGCCATCACCAATTAAAATATAATTAATGGGTAACAATGATGATTCAAAAATAAAAACAAATCTAAAACCAAATAAATGATAATTAATTAAAGAAACCTTGTAATAAAAAATCGGAATAATAATGAAAAAAATTTAGGTAACACCAAAGATAATTGTGATAGTCATAATAGCAGTAATAGTAAATGAGCGAGAAGGAAACAAGATTTTTCGTAATGGCTGAAAAAAATAAAAATCATTTTGGAAGGTTAAGTGATAAGAAAGGTGAGAAGTAGAAGTAAAAGTACATATGTGAAGTGATAACCCTGGATTAGTTTAAATCTACTTTAGTGACATTTTGAAATTAATTCATTCCTTTGGTTTATTTTGATTATCAAATTTAATTATTCTAATTTTCTCTTGTAGACACAGATTACATCTTCCTTAAAAATTACTAAGACTGTGGGCGAAAGCTATGATTTTCCAGTCAATCTGAAGGGTCAGGTCTTTCTCCCTCAATTCCCAATCTTTTTTGGAAAGGGCAGTTTGGAATTTTAATTTTGAGTTGAAAAAAGAATGCCTCTGTGTATATAAACGTTGTTTCTATTCACCCGCAGAAATTCCAATGTAAATATGGTGATTGTTTTCGTTTTCACTATCGAGGCTCAGCATTTTCCTTCATTTGGATAAGGTACACTATTTCTACGGTTACAGGTGGGATCCATACTAGATATATTGCTGAAACCATAGAATTTATTTAGAACATCTTTATTGTGGAAATCTATAATTTTAAACATATTTGTACAGGAATAACTTCATTTGATAGTTTTCCTATTAAAAATTCTGCTTAGGGGTGGTTATTTGGAAAATGTTATATTTCTTTTTCTATTTCTATGCTTGCAGGTCATTTTATCCACCCTAGTGTTATCTGTGGGGTTCACGTAAGATAGTTTATTGTTAAAGCCACTTTTGGGAGAGCCGTATCGCACTGTTCTTTGTTTATATCAAAGATATATTTATTAGATGAAAGTTTACTGATTCTAGTGCCTACAGTGATTGGTATCTACTTCAGAATAGTATCGGGGTGATTCAAGTCAACATTAATGTAGTTAGGAGTTTCATGTTCTATTTTCAAGAACCCTATTTGCAACATAACTGTTGATAATACAAATATAATAGCATCGTCTACATGTAAAATAAAAAGGCTAAAAATAATAGAAGCAAAAAAAAACACTCAATAATATCAACTATGAACACGTACACCTGTGTTTTGAAAATAAAACATTCTATAATGTTAAATACATGCATACAACAATCTATTTTCAGTTAGCAGTTAATATATTTCATATTTGAGAATGGCTAAATGTATAGCCGAAAGCGCTCGGAAAAATATAACATTTGGAAATTTTTTTGCATAATTTATCTACTGTAAAAAGAATTATAGGATCATATGAGAAATTGTATAAAAACTTAATCAAAGCACCTTGTCTGTCATATTTAATGAAGCTGGCACACATATACACACACACACACACACACACACATATATATATATATATATATATATATATATATATATATATATATATATGGATACGCAGGTGATGTAACAGTGGTTCGGAATGCGAACAAGGCCAGTACGCTCAAACCCTCGGTCACGATGACTTGTGACTTCATGCTAGAAGGACGATAGATGGCTTCCATCAGTCGGTGTTTTCAGGCGCTTTCCATAAGTGCCGCATACTAGGATTGTCTCCTTCCAGATGGATCAAAAGATCAAAACAAATCGACAATAGGGAGATCCAAACCTGAATCTCATAATTGGAATGCGTACGTTCTCCCCCCCCACCCGAGCTACATAATATACTTCCTCACATTTCTGTATCTACACCAATCAGAAATATTATAACATTAATCAATATAATTGATTTGATTTTCTCTTCAATATTTTGTTTTGATTTACAATCAAGGATTTTTCCCGAGAATTAAATAAGATCACCGTCTGTTGATTTGAAAGCAAAACCTTCCACAATCGGAAACGGATGTACGTCTTCCCTATGTATCTTATATACCAATCAATACGGTAATTTAAAAATTCAATCATTGTTACGTTACCCTGGTATTCATTAAACAATAAAAACTTCAGTATCACTCAATCAATAATTGAACCAAGAAATGTACATACGTAGAGACCATCATCAGGCGTATCAATGTCGTAATTCGAATCGAACTTTAGTGAATAACTCTGATTGGATGGAATACTGATGTACCATTTGCAGTCCATAGAATTGGGGTAGTTTTCACCCATATTATACCCGGGTGACATGATCTCGCCAGACAATTGGTCGTTTATTTCTATTGTGCAACCTGGAAAATAAAATCAATTAAAGATCCTTTTTAATAAGTGTCAGTGAATAGGTAAAATTTAGAATACTTTTTTTCTTGATCGAAACATTCGATACACTCTCATTTCAGGACACATTAGACCAGGTCGAAAATGGCGTCTTACTGCCATATATGGGCAGGAGCTGCCCGGTCTTCACCTTTAAATCTTAATAGTTCAAAAGCATCTCCGCGTCCTTGTGGATGATGAATTATTTTCCACCCTACAACCCCTTTCCTCACAGACGAGATGTCGTAAATGTCTCACTACGCTGTCGCTATATCCATGGAAAGTATTCAGACTAATTTCATTCCTTAGATCTACCAATTCTTGCATTCACGGCTAAGACCGTCCATGACAGGCACATCGTACCTCATTCCCTTCTTATTTCATTGGTGAGATGTAAGTTCCTCTCGAACAGCTTCTTCCCACGAATAGCTGCTTTGTGGAAACGGCTCCCAAGAGGATGCTTCCTCGAGTGCTACAATCTTAACCTGTTCAAGTCTAGAGTGTAACTATTATCTTCCACACATACTCGCACAAACTGTAACCTTTACTCTGTAACTCTCTACCTCGAGTGTCTTTTGGGCCTTATACATGGTGAACATTATTGTTAAAAAAGCCCATTACCTGAAAATATTTATTAGAAGAATGTTGATTTAAAAGTTTCATTGCACTTATGTTGTCCGATGTACATGATTAAAGATGAAGTCACTGGATGAAGTGCATTGACAAGGTAAGAGATTATTATTTATATTATTTGCATTCGGACAAATGTCGTTATCTTGTTATTACAACGTTTCGCCCGTGGTACTCTTCAGCCTTCATCAGATGCTTCTCGATCTGTGTAATCTTCAGGCAATTTCGAACGAAACGTGTCAACCAGTGTTTCACCTTGTTTTTATTTAGTACTGCGCGGTTATTATTCACCGTTTCCACTGAGGCTGAGTTCATACCACTACCAAATTTAGGGATTGAACTTAAAATTACTATGTTACAAAATTCACGAGCAAACGCTTTAACACACAAGGCTTTTGTGTTGTGGAACCTGAAGAAGACAGGAGTAACGATGGCCGAAACGCTGTGATGATGCCAAAGATGAAGACATTAGTACGAACGTAAATAATAATAATAATAATAATATAAAAATAATAAATATTAATAATAAATAATAAGAATATAAAATAAATAATAATATAATAATAAATAATAATAATAAATAATAATAATAATAATAAATAATAATATAAAATAATAAGTAAAATATAATAATATTAAAGAATAATATAATAATAATAAATAATATAATAATAAATAAATAAATAATAAATAGTAATAATAAAAAACAATAAATATTAATAATGCAAATAATATAATAATAATAATAATAAATAATATTATAATAATGAAAATAAATAATAAATAATAATAATAATAATAAATAATAATAAAAATTAATAATAATAATATAATAAATTAATAATATTATAATAAATAAATAAATAATAATAATAAATAATAATAATAAATAATATAATAATAATAAATAATAAATACATAAATAATAATAAATAATAATAAATAATAATAATAATGTAATCTATAATATATATATATATATATATATATATATATATATATATATATATATATATATAATTTGTCATGGAAAATAATAATTTCTAACTAACCCTGGGCGGGACCCTGGAAAGAAATGTAAACGCTGGAAATCAAAGATAATAATAATAATATAATAATAATAATAATAATAATAATAATAATAATAATAATAATTTTAAATTTCACAGCAAAGACAAACGAATATAAATTTTTTTTTTTTTTTTTTTTTAAACAACGCTATTTTCAACGACTTTAAAAAATAACGGAATTTATATTTACATATTACATTTTATGAATTTATGAGAAGAAAAATGCAATCTTTCTAAGAAGGAATATCGGAATTTACAGATGGGCCAATAAATTTTTTTAAATTTCCAGCAAAGACAAACGAATGTAAAATTTTTTTTTTTTTTTAACCAGCGTCATTCTCTTTGACCGTGTCTCTGTCTATTGTTGCTTGGCAACCCATTTAGAGAAGGAAAACAACAACAACCCGCAACTAATAATAATCGTGCCGAGGAATAATGGCTACTGCGTTATGAGGTCGCGAACGATCCCCTACAGGCTTCGGAACCCTAATCTGTAAAGAATAAACGTAACTTTGGGTGGAATAATCACTATTAATATGAAAATTAAAAAAATAGAAACAAAACGTCCAGTATGGCTCTTCCAGTGGATAAACAGGGAGCCCGTCCTTCAGGAGGAAACCTAAGGTCGAAAAATCTGCCATAGGAAAAACTCTACACAAAGAATGAATCAAACCAGGATAATCCTAATGATGGTCCTGTAAATTCTCCAGCTAGATCCATAACCGTAAATTTAAGGAAAGGAAAAATAAAATGGTCTCGTGAGGAGTACAAAGTTGTTAACTGCATTCCATGAATAAAAATCACTCGCCAAACATATGACATTTGGCGAGAGAAGGTTGGGCAAACAATTAAAAGTACATAGACAAAAATAAACTAGCCAATGTAAGAAGGGACATCATGCGAAATAATTGACAGAGGCTGAAATTAAAAAATGAATTGCAACAAAATAGATGAACCAACAAAACATGAAAAGGAACCGGAATCGGGAAAAAAAAAGTAACATCACAAACCCCAGGTCAAATGAAAAAACCGAAATACACACAAATCACTGTGAAATAATCTTAAAATTTAGAAATGTTGGAAAGGTATGATCTTAGTCAGTCACAAGACGGTAATAAAACGAGTTCAAAATTCATCGAACAGAATTATTTCACAGAAAACAAGATTAATATACAAGAAGCCAAGGATGAAATCATGAGCCATATAAGTCAGAGATAAAAAAAAAAAAAAAAAAATTAAAAAACAAAGCATAACCTCAAAACTATTAAGCTCTATAATGCAGCACTCAAATTGATTCTGGATGAAGAAGACACTCATATAAATCTCAATGAAGCAATATATGCATCAGCAATAGCAGCAACAAATAAACTGAACATCAAAAAAAAAAAAAAGGCAGTCTTATAGACATGAAGATCCACCTAAAAGAAAAATAGAAAAGAAATTGAACACCTTAGAAGTGAATTATCAGTACTCGATGAACTAGCAAGAGGAGTAAATGTAAGAACTAAAAAAGGCAGAAGAGTCGAAAGAAAATACAATATCAGGAATGAAAATGAAGTCCTATCAACTAAAGAAAAAATAAAGCAAACAATACAACTGAAGGCTCAAAGAATAAGAAAGAAAAGATCAAGATCTATAGACAGAACAATTTTTCAAACCGATGCAAAGAAATTTTACAGGGAAATAGGTAAACAAAGAATTGAAATGACAGTCCCCCCTAAAATGGAAGAATTATACAGTTCTGGGGAAAAATATGGGCTTGCCCTAAAAACACAAAAGAGGCAGATTGCAAGAGTTCGAATTTATCAAGAGGAAGATACGAAAAAGCACACAACTTTCCAGGAATAGATAAAATTCTAACTTGGCTATATTATTTAAATACAGCACACAAAAAAAACTCGCCAAAGAACTTCATGGTTACATCCAACTAAAATTCCTGCAATGACCAAAGGAGTCTTTCTTCTACCCAAAAATAGTGACACAAATATTCGAAAAACTATAGAAATTACATGTCTTCCAACAACATTTGTTAACATCTATTTTAACAAAACAGACATATTTTCTTCTTGAAAGAAAATGACATTTCCACTTGAACAAAAAAAAAAAAAAAAGGGTCTAATGAAAGACCAATTATTATAATAATTTTGCTTCCGTGGAAAAAAAAATCTTAGTTTATAGATTTTAAAGCATCTGATATTTCCTGGAATACAAGGTATCACCCGTTATCATCAATTTCATCAAACAATGTATGTCGATATGGAAAACTATTGTTGGAAATAAGTAAATTTAGAGGAATATTTCCTTTTGTCTCCTTTAAAATAATAGCATCCACAGAATCATTTTACAAAATAGCTCAAAAGAAAATAAACCATCTATTTTATTTTCTTGACAATGAGCTGGAAGGTCTTCCTTGTAAAATGATGAAGACATCGGAAAAATTCAATTTGGATAAATCTGCTAAAGCTTGAGGAAAACAAACTCCTCGACCCTTAACAATAAAAGATTTAGAACAAGGAGAAGCTTATCCGGTCGACTGAAGGAATTCACCATAAGAAAATGAAAGAAATAGTGGTCCCATTAATAAAAACTGAATTGACTATCTCCCAGTGGTCCAATATAGTTTCAACTTTGAACTATAAAATGACATCAGACAAATTGCCAGGATCGGCTGATGTAGACCGTCTATAGTTGGAAGAGGTCTTATCCTAGAATTGTATACAATCTTACTTCATGGAAACAAATAAAATTTGATCAACATGAAAACAGAAAGAAAAAATAAGAGAAGGCATTTACAAACAACATTTACTTTAGTAGATTGTTTAAATAAAACAGAAGCCAAGAACCAACTTTGAAAAGAAAAAAGTTCTGAAACAACGCTGGCAATTGTTCACTAGATAAAGTTAATACTCAAATGGTTACTAAAATGAAACTTTATTCTTGAAAGACCAGAGTTATCACTGAATTAAGAAATTTACTTAATGATCACAAATATTCTAAAATATATTTTAAATGATGAATAGATATAATACTTACACTTTAAACAAGATGTTAAGCAAACACTGATTTCGGCCAGAAAATAGAAGATGTCACCATTCTATGGGAATTCTAAGAAAATTGACAAATAGGTCGGACATTATTGTCAAAAACCAGAAAGAAAAAACGCACAATTAATCCAAAACATAGGAATTTGAAAAACATCAAAATACAAAGAAAAATAAATAGAAAAAAAATGTGAAATTGAAAACAAGAATAATACCAAGATTAGGTGCGCAAAACAACACATTGAAAGAATCCCTGAAACCCCAGCTTCCATATTTCTTAATACAGTTCTCTGAAACTTACTCTATGCTCAGTTAATCGGAGATAATAAATAACAAAAATCGATATTGATATTCTTTAAAAATTCAATTATTCAAGGATAGACAGAAAATTTTTTAATAGGGAATTAAGAAGAATGTTGTTGTGTAAAATAAATGCCTTTATCAATAGGCATTTATTGATTTACTTCGAGACGATAAACAGAAATACTGTCCGATTATTTGTAACTAAAAGCGAATCATTTCTTAATCTAAGAACAATTATTATAGAATTTTTAGGTGATTTAAAATTAAATGACTAATACAATATGTGTATATGAAATAATAAAGATGAGAATCATTTTGTGTAACAGTCCAAGCAATGAAAATACCTTTGAGAAAATCCTCGACTCTTAAAAGGATAAACTTCTGATGCACATAATAATGTTCCATTTATTTATTTATTTGTTTTGTTTTTGTTCACTTTTTTTTTGTTTGTTTTTTGAATAGATATATACATTTTGTTTTTCGTGATTTTTTCCAAATCCAAGAAATATCACATTCCAAAAAGAGGCATCATGTGAAAATAAAGGACAATCGAAGATTGGCGCAGTACAATCTTCCTATTTCAATACAGTTCTCTGAACTTACTCTATGCTCAGTTAAGTTTAATAAATAACAAAAAATCGATATTGGATATTCTTTAAAAATTCAATTATTCAAGGATAGACAGAAATTTTTAAGAACTGGTCAGGACGATAAACAGTATATTGAAAAGAAAAGGCAGGAGCGTATAACGGCCAAAACGTCGTGAATATGACAATAAAGATGAGGACAACAGTCCAAGCAATGTAAATACCTCATCTAAGAAATATAAACTGATGTGGATAATAATGTTCCATTTATTTATTTATTTGTTTTGTTTTGTTTTTTTGTTTGTTTGTTTTTTTGTTTTCTTTCGTGATTTTTTCCAAATGACATTCCGACCTCTTCAAAGGTGATTATCAAATTTGTCGTCGGCCAAGATATCGCTGTATGGTCCATGGTGATTATTTGTTCATTCCATGTATTTTGTTCATTATTGCCGTAATCGTAGACTGTTAGGTTACCACTGGGATATGCCCTTATTTCAACGGGTTTCAGATTCGAAGAAACTATCAAAGAGAAGAATAAATTATATTTGTATGCAAAGTTCCCAAAGAGGTTTGCCATCGATGATCCATTATTCCTGATAGCAATCACCTAAGATTAAAAAGTAACTTCCGATATTTTTTTTGAGACATTTTCTATTTTTTATAATACATTTGTCTTGAATAATATTTGGAATTGTCTTGCATGCCCCCAAAATCTTGAGTCTGAAGAGCCTCTTCTCCTTTTCAGTGATTCCTAATCACTGCTTATCCGATTACTTTCCTATAATCCTTATCCGATTCTGGAATTGGTCAATGAGAATTTTGAAATTTTAATAATGCATTTTTAGATTGATATTTTTCTCATTAAGGTTGCGCCAAGTAATAGAGATTTAATTTAAATATTAAAAAAATATATTTGGCATACAAGAAAAAGAAATGGTTATTCGATATAATAATTCGAGGTCAGTATTATAATCGACTGGCTTACCGGATAGTTCGATACTCGTTAATTTTGGCCACTATTGCTATTCTGGAGCCACTAAGTCTCTGGTTGGTTGATTATGCTCATGAGCTCTCTCTCACACACTCTCTATCTCACATACCCTCTCTCACCCTCTTTCTCTCTCTCACCCTCTTTCCCCACTCTCTAAGCCCCTCTCTCACCCTCTCTCAACCCCCCTCTCTCTCTCAGGAGGAACCATTGATGTACCTGGCTACTTTGAAAGATACAAAATGCAAAAATTATTTTCCCAAAATTTGAGATGAGTCTGCCGATTTAAAGAAAATTAAGATGCCATATTTTGAATTGGGGGCACAATTGATTAATAAAAGATTTTCGGCTTAATAAGCCTTATTTATGTGAAAGGAAGTAGGACCTTACGGAGACACTTCCAGATATCGATCAATATATCCAGCATCTCGATGAAACTGAGGCCATGTGGAAAATTTGTCAGTGGTGTGACATGACCCTAACCCTCGACATGTTATTAATACACAACAATAAGATGTTAAATTTTAAGTTATATCGTAAATCAACAATGGAATATGATCTAATAAACTCCTATTCCCACCACAACTAAAAAATATTTTGTAGGTTATTTTAAACCAGAAAATATTTTTTAGATTGTAAACTTATTTTGTAGAGAATAATAATTTGCAGATACAAGACAGTAATTCACCCTCTGGTCGGGGGGAAGATGTGGATTTATAACTTTCCTTTGGGTATTTGCGCGTAAATGAATATCGTGAATTTTACTAGAATTGGAACTCGACACTCTGATTTCCAATGAATGATGGAGATATAGAATGATGTTAATTGATAGTAATGTATTGATAGAAATATAAGAAAATTGTGCTGTATCATTTTTCTGCGTGATGAGGTTGATTATCTTGAACACCATTATTAAATTCATTTTTTTAAAAGCTCCACTTAAACATGGATACAATCCTAAAATTCAAGCTGTGTTTTGGCCCAACGATCCATTTGCATAAAGAGATAACTTCTCGTCTCTCATTTGAAAGATTAAAAGGAAAACTTACCTGTTTTCCATTCGGCGATAAATCCTTTGTATTCTACGGAACTGTCTGACATAAACTTGATTATCATCATATTATTTGGACTTGTGTAAGTTCCCTGGGTAACGTTATTGCCAGAAAGACGGTACTTGAAAAAAGCCTCAGATTCAGAAAGGGAGCCAACGTATATTTCCACCACATCTGTGTTTGCCTCAGTGAGAAATTCTGAAAACTGATAAACAATTCAAAGGGATATAACTCATCGACTCAACTCGACAGAAACAAACGTTAAATTTTAAGACATTTGAAAATGCCTATCCAACAATATGTCTTTCCCCTCCTCGGTATGACGATAAACTACATCCGACAGCATGGCCGCCTCTGATCACGAGGTTTTGAGGAACCACCTCTCAATTGCTGGTGTTCCCAGGTCCACCCAGGCCTGGGGTGGTAGCACCCCTTAGGGTCCCAGATATGCGCAAATAGCTACCCCACAAACCCGTCCGCGTCCTGCGTAAGACGATAAACTACATCCGGGGTCCTGGGTAAGACGATAAACTACATCCGGGGTCCTGGGTAAGACGATAAACTACATCAAGGGTTCTGGATAAGATGATAAACAATGTCCAAAAGCAAGTCCTCTTATCAAGAGGTTTTGACGAGCGTCGAACCACCTCTTAATTGCTGGTGTACCCAAGTCCATCCTGAACCGGGGCTGTGTTATCTGTTAGGGTCCCAGATGCGGGCAAATAGTTAACTCCCAAACTGGGGTCTAAACGTGTAAAAATATTTTTAATACTAGCAATACATTTATGAAAAAAGTATAACAAGCAATAAAAATCTTGTCGGCATTAATATAACCCATTGAGGTTGATATGCTGTAAACGAAACGAAACGAAACCAAACCAAACCAACATCTCTTTTCTGTCTGAAATTCTAAAACGAGATATTGTTAGTATTGTTTTTCCATTTTGTTTATTGAGTTAGCATCCTAGTCCTTTAATGACAGCGTCATATTCCGTTAGCAAGGAGCAAGTTCTGCTTGGTCAGGTTCTCCCAAGAACCGCTGCTTTGTGAAACAGATTTCTGAGAGGATGATCTCCGCCGACCACTAAAATCTTAAACCCTTCAAATCTAGTGTTAACTTTTATCAATCCTATATTTTTTCATAATATACAATTTTTACGTTCATATAACAACCCCAATGATCAAGCCTCTACCTTGAGTGATTCTTGAGCCTTATAGATATAGATTACAACATTAAAAGAACGCTTCGGTAGAGATAACAGTAGAAACAATTGCGAATCTAAATAATTAGAAAATCATTATCTGCTGGCCGAATTGAATTTGAATACCAGTTGTCCAGGCCACACCCTTTATGAACGACCCTTGGGATATAACTCTCCTGTATTCTATTCAAATGTCATTATCTTAACAATAACACAAAGCAATGATAGAAAAAAGAAGGTAACTATTTTTTAACTATTTTTCTTCTTCAATAAACTGTTCTAACGAATTCATCTTTATTGTTCTGGGCACAAGGTTTTGATCGATATGTTCTTCAGCCTTCTTGTATATTCCGAAGTTTTGATATGAACTATGTTCATTCTCTATTTACTGTTCGAACTATTGTTTCAGTCTTACTTTTCGTCTGACATTTTTCCGCTGAGGGATTTCTAAGAACCGGTTTCAGAATATACACCTTTGTTCAAATTAATTGAAACAACCGCTTTAGTCTCCTTTCTTTCACCATACGGTCAGTTTTAGACCCACTGGAGTAACAGGGTGTAATCGATTTCTACCTTTTCCCTCGGATTATGTCATTTGCAGTGATGTGCAGTAATATGAATCTATTTTGGGGGTGCATGATGAAATTTGCATCAGATTTTCATCACACCCAGACACTATTGTCTCGACTGTCGATTAGTTGTCCTACGGCCATTGTCTTCAAAGGACGTTCCTCCAAGGAAGCGTACGAAAATTGTAACGCTGCACGAACACACTGGCAAGCCCTACCAATGAGCAAATCAAAGTACAATCGACTGGCTTGGAAATTCTCCTGATTTAAATCCAATCGAGAATCTGTGGTCAATCTGCAAGAAAAGACTTCGTGGATTCGATATGCGAAGTACTAACATGTGCACTGGGTCATGTTTCATTTGAGAAATCCAAAAAAAGTAAATAATAACGGAATTATTCATTTTGTTTCAATTAATTTGTACAAGGGTGTACTTGAGGGAGGCCGAAAACTGTGTAGTCAAAGACATTGCATTTAAGAAACTAAGGATACATCTAGTGTACCGGATGATACATGAAATAAGGCCATCGGTAAAGTTTAACTTTCCCTTGACACTACTATTAACGTGTACTCCATCGATAATTTTATTGTTTGAAAAAGCTATTTTTAAAATTTTAATAAAACCGAAAGGCATGAAACTTGGTTTTTATGCATTGTCTTTTATCTTAAGAATTGAAAGCGAAAGTTTTAAACATTATTCTTGTAAGTAAACAATCGAATTGTTTCGACCGTCGTACGTTGCGACCTTCTTCAGATTGATTAAATAAAGGGTCCAGTTCGAAATTCCAACAAATATCACCTGAAGAAGGTCGGAGCGTAAAGCATCTGAAACATCATGAATGTGACAATAAAGATGAAGACAAGAGTCCGAAGAATGTAATCAGTATAAATAGCATGTAAGGCATTTACCCTTCAAATATTGCGATGAATGAAGAGTTAAGGAACTGAATTTCAGGTACGCTGATTGCTGATGTGGTTAATACGCTCTGGTTTAACCTCACCAAGCGGAAGCCTGAGGAAAACTATAGCAAAATTTCAAGTCTCTGTAATGAAGAGTGGGCAAGAAATCTTAGAGCCGATTTTCATGGCCCATTTAGCTAAAACAATAATAAAGATTTTTTTAAACATTTGTGTGTGTGGGGGGGGGGTCAAATGACTGTCGAAGGCTGAAATATCCTATAAATCCTAATCTACAAAATATCTGTAAATATATACGAAAATAAAGGGAAATATTTTCCGTATAAAATTATCATTTTAACTATTTCACTCTTTTATTGTTCTAGCTTGTTAGATGGTTGTACTGGTTCGTTTTGGGAAAAATAGAATTAAAGGATATATTTGCTGAGGCTTTAGACGCTATTAGTGGGCGCCGCTATATGGGGTTTCGATCACACTACTGTATAGAGTAACCCATAATATAATAAAAAAATACGTTACAAAACTGCCGGCATTGTACGGTATTATATGTCTCATACGAATTTGTAAATAGTACTAAGCATTAGTTCATTTATAATACAAACGAGAGGGGGCGACATTTTCGCGATGTCTTGAAAAGGTATTTATATGTCTAAAGCAGGCAATGTAAGATTCTTATAGACGTATAATTACGTTCACAGCAGCGGAAATAGGAATCAGATCATAACAGTCGTTAGAATTATATGTCTGTATATCTTGTTTTCCTGTTTGAACTTTATGACCGGCCAAGCGGATGAACAACTGGAGTTATCTAAAAATGATCAGGTTCAGCGAAATAGAAAATAGTTCTTTAAAGATAATTGTTTTATTTTAGCACTTTTTAAAAAATTTTCAAGGATCAGTAATCCAGAAAATATTTATGTAGTATTTATAAATCCGTTAAACATGTCAAGTGTTACTTTTGAATAAATCTTTCAAACAGGTTTATAAATCGCTATTTACATTATTCGGATTATTGTCCTCATCTTTGTCGCCATGTTTATCAAAACGTTTCGGCCGTTGTACGCTCCGGCCTTCTTCAGGTGGTTGGAATATCGAACTGAACCGTTTATTTTGCTCACTGTGGTAGACTGTTATAGTTCCACGTGCCATGTCTAATGGATGTCAGTTATCTCCTGTTAATTCCCCTCTTAACCAGGTATTGAACTCACACTCTTTGGATCCTGTCAATGGATCTAACTAACGTGTGTCCTATATAGACAAATACAGGTTTATAAATGTTTACGATGGATCAATAAATTCACATTGAATATTTTCCCGAGTAACCATTATCCTCTCTCTTGTACAGAAAATATCACAGACAATTACTCACCGTTAGTTTCACAGAAGTTCCAATATCAGAGCGGATTTTCCACATACAAAATGAATTCTTTCGATAAATTGCATTATTGCTAAATGAAGCTATTTTTCCTGAGGAGCCGGTTTCATAATATCGACATAGTTGTGCTGTAATAAAATATAGAAAATGAACAGATTTTAAATTATTGGGGTGGGGCGTTAAGTTTAATACATTTTTATTTCTTTCTTTCTTTTCATTTCTATCAAGACGGAAACTTAAAACATAATCACCTTGAGAAAAAAAAAGCTCTGTGTAAGCTTTAAAAAAATCCCCCAAAAGCCAAAGAAATTTATAATTATTTCTTGAATCCGTAAACAACGTCTAAAGGAAGATAGACCAGAGCTGTGTATTTTTAACGCTGCAATCTTGGGTTCAATCCAGAGTGAGGTCAGAAAAATGCCGGAAAATAGAAATCGTTCTTAGCGATTACTGTTTGCAGGAATATTTTGTTATTTTTTTATTTCAGTTTTTAAAAACATTTTTCATGAGCTTTTAATTTTACAAAGTAGTCACTTTAACGTACAGCGAATACTTTCTTTCATCTGACGTTACAAAACTGCCGGCATTGTACGGTATTATATCTCTCATACGAATTTGTAAATAGTACTAAGCATTAGTTCATTTATAATAGAAACGAGAGAGAACGACATTTTCGCGATATCTTGAAAAGGTATTTATATGTCTACAGCAGGCAATGTAAGATTCTTATAGACGTATAATTACGTTAACAGCAGCGGAAATAGGAATCAGATCATAACAGCCGTTAGAATTATATGTCTGTATATCTTGTTTTCCTGTTTGAACTTTATGCCCAGTCAAACGATTGAACACTGGAAACTGAACAACTGGAGTTATCTAAAAATGATCAGGTTCGGCGAAATAAAAAATAGTTCTTTAAAGATAATTGTTTCGTTTTTTAGCACTTTAAAAAAAAATTTCAACGATCAGTAATCCAGAAAATATTTATGTAGTATTTATAAATCTGTTAAAAATATCAAGTGTTACTTTTGGATAAATCTTTCAAACAGATTTATAAATCACTATTTACATTATTCGGACTATTTTTCTCATCATCAAACAGATTTATAAATCGCTATTTACATTATTCGGACTATTTTTCTCATCTTTGCCGCTATGTTTTTCACAACGTTTCGGCCGTTGTACGCCCCGGCCTTCTTCAGGTGGTTGGAATGTCGAACTGTACCTTTTATTTAGCTCCCTGGGGTAAACTGTTCTAGTTCCACCTGTCATGTCTAATGGATGTCAGTTATCTCCTGTTAATTCCCCTCTGAAAGTTCTCCACTGCCTTAACCCAGGTATTGAACCCACAATCTTTGGGTCCTGTCTCTGGATCTAACTAACGCCTTTATCTATATATATATATATATATATATATATATATATATATATATATATATATATATATATATATATATATATATATATTCTGAGAAAAACCTTTATAGACAATTTAAGTAGATCAAAAATACTGGTAAGGTCATTGACATGAGCCTTGAGAAAATATCTGAAGTGAAAAAAGGTGAACACTTACGACAAATCAGTTCATCTGAAGCATCTTGGCAGTCATCTTTTCCATCACAGATTTGCTTTTGACCAATGCAGCGGCTGTTTTCACACATAAATGTGTCTGAAAACGAAAGTTACAGAGAAATTTAAATAAAAACAAAACTAATTTTCATGGTGCGGATCATAGTTTGTTACTTGGTTTAGCGTACCGAGATTCATTTAGTCAAATCTCATTCGATGGACAAGAACATTAAACACGATAATCAGGTAAAAGGGGTTTATCAACTTAACCCCATATCTTACTGATATCATTTTAAACTGGCGCTTTCTTCTTTCCACATATATAAACTGTATGTCTAATCTGTAATTATGGAAAGTGACAAATTCACAGAAATATATTGGAGAATTCTCAAATTTTTATCTGAAATACAGAAAATAGGAACTTTAAACGAAATGTTGACAATACATTGAAACAAATTGTCATTTTAAAGCGATAGCTTCTTGGATTCAATTTAAACTGACCTCTTCTTTTTTCATATATCTAAACTTATAAAGGTAAAATTTCATTGAAATATGTTCGCAAATTTTGAAGTTATCGTCTGCAATGCCAGAATGCCTATTATTGCCATTATTGATTGATGCAGGAATAAATTATAGAAAGTTTCGAGTGTGACTTTCTGATGAGAGAATTTAACGTGAAAATTAATAGCAAACGAGACTCAAGATTAGAAAGTAGGTTATTTATTTCTAAGAAAGACACAGTTCGATTGTGATGTCCCACAATGCAGTGCAACTAACAGAACAAGATGACTGAAATAACGAAAACTGATAAAGAGAAAAAAATATACCGTGCCTGAATATTTAATCACACAAAGAAAAATGAAAATGATACGATATTTTAAATTGTTGTGGCGACGAGTTTGCAAGATGATTAACGAAAGGACATGACGACAGGCCGGTTTAAAAGAAAAAGAAATAACGAACCATTGATAGAAAATGCATCGGGGTATGAATTCAATTTAAGTAGACACGAGAGAGAATATTCAGAAATCCTGATTTTAAAAACTTAGGAAAAGTAAAACAAAATGATGTCCATTATTTAAACGCGTGCTACTGTCTTCATCTTTGTTATTATCCCAACGTTTCGGTCGTTGTAGTCTACAGTCTTCATCAGAGGCATGTCGATCCGGGTAACTTACAGGGGATTTAAAATCTTTTATTTAATCTAAAAAAGTAGATTTTTCTCATTCAAAAAGTTGTTTAAAAAAATCAGTTTTCGGAATACTTTAATATTTTCTAAGCAAATATTTTTCGATTTGAAATAATCACTTACCAACAGTACACGCTGTTTTCTCGCAGACAAATGTTTTTTTCTCGTTACAATTGCTCAGCGCCCATTTAAATCCTTCGTTTGATTGCATCTGATAAGAACATTTTCCAATGTTCATATCCGGATTGTAGTTGGCCCAGAAGCCCTTTTTAAGATTTGTTTTTTCTCCATGACTCCAATGAGCTTGGTCTGATGTATTTAGATTATTTAGTTGGTTAAAACCTGAAATAAAATTGATCAAAGGAAATTTAAATCTAGTTTTCTACATACGCATCCAGATAAAATACAATAGGTCAAAATATCGGCATCATGCAATCATGAATAGCCAATCTCCAAGAGATATATTTTATTTATATGAAATATTCAAGAAGTCACCGTTTTAAATATCGTTTTTTAAATGTATTTCTCAAGCTTACAGCAGCCGACATGCGTTCTAAGACATGACAAACACCACAATTGTTGTCATTTACACTCGTCGTCATCGATTAGACTCTCAAAAAGATTCCATTCTTTCAAAGTCTATTAGATCTCGTTCACCCCAGGCCTGAAGCAGAATTCGAAGTAGGACTGCATTGTGAAGCGTTTCGACTTTTAGGACATCATTAAGACTAAATTTATTTATTTTACACATGCGCACAAACTAGGGATCCCGGGATTCTTTTTAGTCTAGCCGATTTCATTTAGATTCTTTTTCTGTTTGTTTCCATCAATTTTTTTTGTAGATATCCCACACTGTGATAATAGAAGTTCTGCCAGGAATGGTGAAATATTGTAAGAGTCCGGATGCAAATTGACTGTAGCTGACATTTACGTCATAGTGAATTATTTTCTCCTTTGATCAGAGTAGCATTTTTATGTTAAAATTGTGGTCAGTCTCGTTACGGTGGAAAACCAACGCATTTGATGCATTATTTTGTAAAATGTCCCTTTTGTGTTCATATAATCTACGACGAAAATGCCGAGAGAGTGCATTGATCACAAAGTCATCTACAGTAAATTTGCAAATTTACGCCCGGGCTCTTATAATATTTCACCATTTCTAGGAAAACTTCTGTTATAATATTGAGAGATATCTAATAACAAAAGTGATGGAAACGAAAAGAATATAAATAACATCGACTAGATTTAAAGAAAAATTCCCAGCATCCCTCGTTTGCGCACATGTGTAGTCGCAGCAACATAACAAATTTAATCTGATGAATACCTAACGGAGGGACCGCGTCACAAGAAAACAGTTTCCACTTTGTCTCATATATATATATATATATATATATATATATATATATTATATTTATCAAAAAAAACACTTTTACTAATTTTGGGGGAGAGTTCCTTACACTGAAACAAGGAAAAAATCCATATAAACAGATGTCCAGAAATTCTTTCATTTGAGTTATTAAGTTTAAAGAAAGTTTACAGTAGACGGCGCGATCTGTTGTGTTGCCATGTAGACTAGGTTACATTTGTCATTCGTGTACATTTGTGACTGGTCTGTCTTCAATGTTTAACATGTGTAGTAATGAGCTAACGGAGAAATATTCCATTTAACAATGGTAGGATATCCATATTTTGAATAAGCAAATATGATTTTTAAATACCGCCGTGCGAATGGTAATGGGCGCGAGGCTGCACGGCTGTATCAGATTGCGTTTCGGACACTCAAGGCAACCGAGTCATCCAACCATTGCTGCTGTTTTTGAGACAGGATTCGTGGCCCCACAATATGGATCGAGGAAGACCGAGGTCCGATCATATGCCTGACCATGAATAACACATCCAACAGGCTATCAGAAACGATCCAGGTATCTGCATATGTCAAATGGCCTTAGCATGTTGTACATATCATAGTACCACATGCAGGGTACTTCAAGAGCATATTCTGTATCCGTATCATTTGCAATGTGTGGAGAATCTTTCGCCTTCTGATCACCCACCAAGCCGATTGTTTATTGCACAAACTGCCGATCCATTGTTTGTCTCTTCAGTTTTGTTTACGGATGAAACAAGATTTTGAAGAGATGGAATAAAAAATTTACACTAGCAACATTTGTGGGGGGATCGGAATCTCTATAGTACAATACAGAATAGACACCAGATTACGATTAATGTGTGGGCTGAAACTGTAGGTGACTGTCTGGTGGGTCCATATGTTCTCCCAGCACGTCTTACAGGAGCTGTCTACAGGGATATATATATATATATATATATATATATATATATATATATATATATATATATATGCACCAACAGGCTTTCCTAAATTTAGCCGATATGGGCTTTCTTTCTGTCTAATTCTTAATTGTATTTTTCAAATTTTTGAATAAGATATAATATATCGGGATCAAAATTACAGATGAACTGTTCGAAGTTCATGTTTTATTTTGTTTGTTCAAGTACTTTCGATCTTTTAAGTCATTACCAACGAAATTGCTGTTTTCAGTGATGTAGAGAAGGTCTTGTTGGCTGCATCCTGGTCATTTTAGCGTATTGGAATTTGAATTAGTCCAAAGTGACGTCATGAGTAATGACTAAAGTGATCTCAACTGCATCAAAAAAGTATTTATTAAATATTTATAAGTATTATTCTCATTTCTACCAGTATTATATATATATATCCAAATGTAAAAGAATGAAAACAATATAAATTCAAACGTTCATAACATCAATTAAAAAAAGGCCCAGTAAAAGAGGAGACCAATAAAACTTGTATAAAGTGTTACATTGGAACAATGTAACAGTTTATGATATATATATATATATATATATATATATATATATATATATATATATATATATATATATATATATATATATATATATATATATATACATACATATATATATATATATATATACATATATATATATACATATGTATACATATACATACACATATATATACACACTCATATACACATATATACACATATATATATATACACATATATACATGCATATATATATATATACACATATATACATGTGTATAAATATATATACATGAATATATATATATACATACATATATACATACATATATACATACATATATATATACATATATACATACATATATATATATACATGCATATATATATATATATACATATATACATACATACATATATATACATACATACATATATATATACATATATACATACATATATATATATATATATATATATATATATATATATATATATATATATATATATATATATATATATAAACACACACACACTTGTATTTGGATATTATTAAACTTTCAAAATAAAATATATTGACCTAGCATGACGAGCTCTGTTTGTAGACTGTGATTCGAATGGCTGAGCTAATCTATCTATATATATGTAACTCACTTTAAACATTTAAAATTTTAAACATTTTAAAATGTCTAATATACAGTTCGTTTCATTTCTCGCCATTTTTAGACTCAAACGAGTCAGGTGCCTTACCAATAAACATGTCTCCAATGTAGAAATGTTCTGCGCACATTGTTTAAGAGAGATCAGTTGTTGTGGAGTTAATAGGACAGTTTAAAATCCTTTTCACATTGGTTAATTTGGTTCTAGTTCTTAACTTACCAATCCAATATTCGGAAAGCCCATTCTTTAAAGCTTCACCTCCAACATCTTTGTTGGTCCAATAATCTTGAATTTTGACCAATTCGGATTGCATTCTAGGAGAGAGAAACATAACAAAGAAATAGTTTTGAAATTCAAATTGCAAGTGAATCATAATAGAGTAACAAAGAGATTAACATAAACTTGATAAATATCACATGAGAGAAAGATTAACGTTGCGCCAGACTAAAATGTTTAAAGAATTGGTTTACGTCTTATGTGTTTACCTTGAGGTCGTTTCTAATTTCATCTCTAATTATTCTTAATAGAAAAAAGAATTGAGAAAGACAAAAAGACGTGCAAAGTTCAATAAAAAAAATATGCGAGTAATCTCCACTAGAAAAATTTCGTACTGCTGTCTTTATTCAAAATAACCGAGAAGGCCGCAGTTACAAAGAGTATCGACGTAACAGAGGACTAGGAAGAGGAAACAAAGAATAAAAGGTTTATTAAATATTCATACATAGAACGGAAAAAAACTTCAGTAAATCAACAACTCCTCATAGTTATTTTCCAAGCGTAGCTTAGACGTGGCACAAGGCCAAAAGTATGGGACATCTAGTGAGGATCGAACTCACTTTTCAGTCAGCAACTGATCTAGCGAGACAAGGTTGCTAACCATTACACCACGCCAAGGTTCCTTCGACTACTCCTCATATCCCTCTAATCTGGCTACTTGTCATATTTATAGGTAGAAACGATCCATTGTTACAGTAATAGGGAAGAGCTGGATTTACAGTGAGTCTTACTCTACAAAAAATACAAAAACACTAAAAGAGTTCTATATTCAACCATTTTTAAACAGAGAAAGAAAAGTCACAACTTTTTTTATTCTAGTCACTGGATTTAATCAACCACTGGGCCATGTGTCCTGACCGTAGAACGGCCGAAACTTTGTGAATATGGCAATGAAGATGAGGATAACAGTCTGAATAATGTAAATAATGCAAGTAATCATAATACCTCATCTCAGAGATATAGAGGCCGAAACGTTGTGAATATGGCAATAAAGATGAGGATAACAGTCTGAATAATGTAAATAATGCAAGTAATCATAATACCTCATCTCAGAGATTTAGAGGCCGAAACGTTGTGAATATAGCAATGAAGATGAGGATAACAGTCTGAATAATGTAAATACTGCAAGTAATCATAATACCTCATCTCAGAGATATAAATAGAAATGACTAAGTTTACATTTAGATTATGAAAATAAAGTTAAACGTTACAGACTTCAATAGGTCGCAAGGATAGATAATTGAACCTTGTTAAATTGTTATGCTTTCTTATAAATTACTGATAAAAGCTCGTTTGGTCTGAAGATTATTTTTCAGATAAAAATGAATGTAGATGTAAATCAAGAGAAGCATTTTCTTTAATATGACTTTCGATCTCTAAGCCGGTAGATATTATTTTGGGAATCTCAATATGGTGTGATGATTAGTAAGCTTGTCTCGTTAGAACCATTACAACTGGTTAATGAGTTCGATCCTCACTGGTACTTTAGGCCTTGTCAGGCATCTAAGTTACGCTTAGAAAAAGAACTTAACAAGCTTGTCACGCTAGATCAATTACGACGGAGTAGGGAGTTCAATCTTCACTGGATGCTCCACATTTTCAACTTTGTGCCATACCTAAACTACGCTTAGAAAATCACCAGTAGATTTCACTGTTTATAAAAAGAAGGATCGCTTCTCAAACACGTTTAACCATTAAATATAACGCTTAAAGTAATAAAATATTATACTATATCATATCTGTGTGTGTCTGTGTGTGTTTTAAATAAAATTATATATGCTAAATTAAATATATATGTTAAATAACTGTACTTTTGGCAGCAGTCGCTGGCAATGTCCCAGGGAACTTGTCTGTTGACTGCTTTGTAGCACATGTAGTTGATGTTGGTCCATCCTGAAAAAAGCAGAAAAAGAAAATCAAATTAACTAACTTAGAAATCTCGCGGATATTTTTTTACTGCTGCTTAATGAAATACTACTAATAAGAATAATGATTAAAGAATCGATCAAGTTCAAATTCAATTTTCAAATAAACGGAAAGAAAAACCCTGGAAGAATAATATTCCCACTAGGATCAACTGTTCGATTTCCTCAAGAAGTTGAAACTTAAAACTGGATATGTTTGTGGGGATGCGACGGGGCCAATCTAAACGAGAAAACGGGTGCTAAAGAATCAAGGTGTAATAGTAACAACACGTCAAATTGAAAATAAGTTGAATGCCGAATAGGAAGAAAGCCTAAAAAAATGACTTGTTTATCACAACTGCAAATGAATTCGATTTGTCGTTCAAATTATCAGTTAGGCCTGCAATTATTTATTCGAAGCTTTTTATGATCTTCCAAGTTACGGTTGAGGGTTTTCTTTTTTTTAAAAAAAAAAGAATAGAAACATTACTGAACTTTAGATTGAAAAGCTCAAATATGAAAGGAAAATACAAGACAATAATTGATAAATGACTGGCTGGGTGAAGAAAAAAACAAGAGTAAACTAGATTTATTTGGACAAAAATTCTTCTTCAATTAAAACCAAGGATAAGTTAGTCCAGGGTAGACTGCGTTACTCACTTGGGAGGACATTGGTCCGTATTCCTCCTGTATAGAATCAACTATGTGATACTGATACCGTGGGGCTCGTGTTGCTGGGAATGAATCGAACTATTATTTTTTCTTTGTCTGATTTTTATATATAAAAGAGAAATTTCTCTTATGAAATATTATATATATATGTGTGTGTGTGTGTATGTGTGTATATATATATGTGTATATATATATATATATATATATATATGTGTATATATATATATATGTGTATATATATATATATATATATATATATATATATATATATATATATATATATATTTATATATATATATATTTAATTATATATGTTTGTATGTCGGTCTTCTCCTCACTCCTTAGCCATCTATATCTAGAGACGAGACGCGTTAAATTTGAGCAACATCCAGCCGACACACTGGGGTTAAAATAGGAAACTAAAATGATACATATGACACACTCATATCCTCTCTCCCACCTCACTTCCCCACTTCGTTAATTTTACGTATACTTGATGAAGTCCGTAAAAAACGTGTGAATTTCTTTTCATTCTTCATTTCAGCTTTTGGAAGTAAAGTCTGTTGATCCAGAACCCTGTTAAAGGGGTTATGGTGAAATAGCTTATTACATGGAATCTTAACGTGGTCTGTCTTTTATTCAAACATATCTGCTCTGAATTTTACATTTAGCTCTCTGGATATTATCCTCCTCGGGTCTACCCATACGGATTACCTAAGTTTGTATAAACTATATATATATATATATATATATATATATATATATATATATATGTAGTTGGGGGAAGTAATAGATGGTAGAATGAATGCCGTCGCATATCAAAATATTTAGGAAGCAAATTAAATTTAATAATTTCGGTTGAAAATCTTGAACTTCTCCCTGATTGGATCTTCCAACAAGATAATGATCCCAAGCACATTGCAAAAATCTACGAAGAAATGTCTTGCTGAAATAATGTAAATATCCCGAAATGGCCAAGTCAATCCGCAGATTTTAACAAATTTACAAATAATTAATTGACAACTACAAGAAGAGGTTGGTTGCTGTAGAAGTGAATAATGGCGATTCTACAAAGTATTAAATGAAAATTATGTATTCTTTGTACATACTTTTTTCATCCAATATTTCGACAATCATAAAAATAAAAAAAAACACAAAGAATGAGTTCAATCGTCCGAACAAGTCTTAAAATTCAGAATCTAGTGAACGTGTTCTACGCTAAAGGACGTTAAGTAACATCCCCCAATTGACATTCGCACTTTGTCTTTATTTTGTCCTCAACATTTCTCTAATACTTGCTTTCCAGCTATTCTATTTAGTTTCTACGGACTTTCGGTCGGACAAATCTTGTCCAATACATGTTAGCGAAAAACAACGTTGGCACTAAATATATTTCCTTCTGATATACGGCTAGAATCGATTATAGAAGAATTTATCTTCAGTTTAGAAATAAAAAATCCCAAAGTATTAACAAAAACTAAAAAAAATACTTACCTATCGGGCACTGAAATCTAATTTGGTCCTGAAAAATAAAAAATAATAAAATTAAATGGCGATCCAGAAGTGGAGGAATAGAATAAAGAAAGTGTATGTGAATAATAAACTTAAAGTACGTTGTAATACGATAATGTGAAGGTAGATGGTTTAGCAGATCATGACAAATAAATAGCGAGCGTGATCTTCCCATTTTTTGTGGCCTTGTACCAAACTAAGCGAGGTGAAATAATACCGGCTTACACCCGTTATGAATCCGTTGCATAATAGTCAAATTCTCTACAGTAAATTATATTTTCTTAGTTTAACTTTGTTCAACACAGCTCTACGGCAGACGCCTTCATTAAAAACTAATGCAGTACTCAGTAAAGATAACATTTTCACCAATAGAAAATATTTTGCGTCAGAAATATTGCTCTACAGTAGACACCCGGAGTAGATATATATAAAACTTATAGCTTTGTCTGGAGCGAAAATACAAGATGTATTGCAGGTTGTAAAAGAATAAACATAATAACAATGGTCTGCCGCCACCAAAAAAAAAAAAATTATTAAAATAATTTTTATTTATTTTTAGCACCTCGACAAAACCCAAAGAAGGATCTGTAATGTTATTCGCTCTGACCTGGCATCTCGACTTCAGTGACCTTAACATCACCGTGACGTAGCTTTCCTCTGTCTTTCTTATAAATATTTTCATGGAAGTTGTTCTAACGAGCTCTCCTCTCTGGTACCTTGACTGTGTGAATTTAAGCGCAGTACTAGATTGGCCAGTAGGTCTCACCGTTTTACTGTTGAAATAGCGAGATGTCACCATAAGTACTATTCTTTCTTCCCACCTGTGGAATTCTCTTCTGGTTTCTTGCTTCTTTGCCGCTTAAAATCTTCAAAATAATTAAATACGTCAATCGACATCTTCTGTCTTCCTGATTCCTGTTCTATTATTGTCCTTTCTCCTTACTAATATCTTCTCATTCTCTTTCACTCCTAGTAACCGCTTGTGTTTTAGTGACATTATCGCCTTACTTGGAGTGAAATGATAAAAATATCTTGTAGAGTATTCTAATTAGTATATTTGACAGCATATTCAGTGAAGTGAAGCTGGCGGATTTTTTTTTTTTAATTCTTCTGATGTTTCTTTTGGTTTATGAAAAGGCTTAAAGTTTGTTTATTGGATACGTGAGGACATTTTTATATTCACACGCAAAAGTATTCGACACAAATTTGTTTAAAGCTTTGACGAAAAACAATTTCTGATGTGGCGACAAGTCTAAAAATGTCTTAAGCATAGCAACGACTAACACAAGGAAAACATATTGGAGGGAATTCTTATAAGAATTAATTTCACCAACAAAGACCAAAATTTGCATTAGCAAATTTAGAAAATCACCTCAATTAAATTCTAATAATTATTTGACGTACTTATTTAATAAAGAATATTTTTAAAATAAGTTTGAAAAAAATATTCATGGGACACAATTAGTGAACGGACAAAACGCGAGGTGAATGTCGTGTCCATAAAGAAATACCAAAATAAGACAATTATACTGTCACTGTGTCATGTTCATAAAAAGTAAACAAATAAAAATTAATTATGGTATAAAAAATAATTATAATAAAATGAATATAACAATTAAAATTATTAGTAATTCACTCTAAACCAATGAGAATCGACCCCACATTTTTCTTCTACACACACGTGACATTCTCATTGTCAGACAAGCAGTTCACACAGACAGATCGTTAACATGTGCGTCAACGAAAATTTAATGTGGTTTTCCTTTTTAAGGACATAATAGTAACATTTATCTTCTAGCACTCCCTGACACTTACATTTTTCCAATTAATTTGTACACTCATTATCCATATCTATATAAAATATATAAGAGAAAGACTGTATACACTTTGCTTATTCTTTAACTGTCGGCTTGCAATTATTTACGTTTAATCCAAATTTATAAAATTTACTCAGTATTACTTTCTCTCGTGCCTACAACACGACCAAGTAATAAAAAATACTAGTTTTGTTGTTTCCACATCTTGCTGTTTCTCATTTTTAAAATAGAAGTGTCTGGGAGTGCTAAAAGATAAATGCCAGGGGGGAATTAACAGGAGATATCTGATAACTAAACATGGCACGTGGAACTAGAACAGTCTACCCCAGTGAGCGAAATAAAGGGTTCAGTTCGAAATTACAACCGCCTGGAGAAGGCTGGAGCGTTCAACGGCCGAAACTTTGTAATAAATATGGCAACAAAAATGAGAACAATAGTTCGAATAATGTAAATAGTGTACATAATACCTCATCTCAGAAATATAGACAGATACATTTTTCAATACTGGTTTTCTAGGCTAGTCAGGATGAAAACGTTCCAATGCCTCCTGCCCCGGTATGAAATCGAATGAAGAGACGCTTTGCAGTACGTATTACGGTTGACGCGAACAGCTTTTTATTTATGCATTTATTATTAAATCTGCTACAATCAAAGACACTTTCCAAATGGAGACTTTCGTCCAAAATGAAAAGACTTTGATTAAATGAGATTTCTTTTTTTACCAAGAGCACCATAGACAGAGCATGTGGTAAATAAAGAAGTTTTAAGGGGATAAGAGTTAAAAAGAAACCGCTGATAACAATCAAAAAGATACAATTTAAATTTTGGGAACACATATTAAGTAAAATAGGCATGGAGAATTAAACACTCACAAGACGTATGGAAGCCAAGAGAAACAAAGGCAAACAGCAAATAATGTACTTGACAAATGGATGGAGAACCAAGTACTACACTGACAGAGGAGGAGTTGTAACAGAGAAGCTATTATCGAAAACAACGAAATAAAAGGAAGCTGTGGTGAGCCATAATAAACCTCGTCATGAAGAGAAATGTCACAGTGAATGAAAGATAAAATGCTGAATTAAATATTTTGTTTTTTTACTTAGATCTCTGGCACATATTTCATCGATCCAAACAACCTACCTTTTAATCAACTTTAAAACTTGCAACCTATTCAGAAAAGAGATCCAACAAATGGTAAAAAACAAGGAAAAATTCGTGACGACACATGTCTTAAATTAACATGCCGTCTGACTTTCATCTTGGTCAAATAAATTCAACTGCTAGCCTCTTTCAACTAAGCTAAGCTAATCCGTAAGCCAATAAGGATTTTATCCGAACACGCGTCACATCTCGTATTTGCTTTTGTTTGTTTGTTTTTCGTAAATCTTCTACCATTACGCCTGATCCCCATTCATTCACCCCACACCCACAATGACGGACACGCAGCCGTGCAAACGCTTATATATAACGCTAAGTGGTAGAGCTGAGGACAGTAGATAACCTGACTTTTACTTATCGATCTTTTACCTGCTTGGTGGCACTCATTATCAACTAGGGAAGGACAAACGACTAAAAAAAAAAAAATTTTCATAAATGATTTTGTAGTGTTGAAAGAGTGACTAACCTTCTCTATCCTTATTATTGAAATATGGACTCGTCCATCCGCGATAAATCGAACGTCTACTCATGGAACAGTGGCAAAAAGTGGGTCGCAAAGTCGTAGCGCTTTTCAGTCATAGCGCTTTTCAGTCATAGCGCTTTCCAGTCGTAGCGCTTCTCAGTCGTAGCGCTTTTCAGTCATAGTGCTTTTCAGTCATAGCGCTTTTCAGTCTTAGCGCTTTTCAGTCATAGCGCTTTTCAGTCGTAGTGCTTTTCAGTCGTAGTGCTTCTCAGTCGTAGCTTTTTTCAGTCATAGCGCTTTTCAGTCGTACGCTTGTCGCACTGAACTATTGTTTTCATGTGATTAAACCCTTCTTCTTTCAAATTTTTGCTCCAGTCTTTTTACGTACAGTCTTACTAAACAAACACTATGAGCGTTATATGAACTTATAACAATTTTTCAATTAGTATTTAGAAGAAACTTGTTTGGTTGCAAAACATGTTGCATTTTATAACCGATGCTTGTATATATGTTTTACTAAGTTTAACATGTCAAAGAAACCAAATGCGCGTAAATGCAGTATAGGAAGATGGTGTAGCGCCAATCTTCCGTCTGTAGAAAACCTTATAGCTTGGATTAAGAATATAGTATTTTGAAATTCTGGATTTTATCCCAACAAATTAGAAATACGAAAGCTATTTTAGACGCCTTCATTTTATTCATTGAAAAGGAAAAAATATCAGAGGCGACAGAAATCAAAGGATGGCGATTGAGAGAGAGAGAGAGAGAGAGAGAGAGAGAGAGTGAGAGAGTGAATGAAAGTGAAGTGTACCTGAAGACTAATTCGTATCTACTTGGTGACTGACATAATAAAGCTCTATGAAAGGAAACCAACCTGTGTTGTCAGAAGTTAAAGAACAAGAAAATATGTCATTTAGTGATATCATGTTCTCATTCTCCTATAATGATCCAAGTTTATACATTTTCGGTTTTCAATGAATGATCATTTTTATAAGATTATTTTTATTCGATTGAAAGAGTCTTCTTCTAGGTGCCATATCCCTTCATGATGTAGATGATCATGATTCTCCACAACTTCCTATCCTTTGTAGCTCTTAACGACATTTTCCTGAGCCTCCCCAGTGTATAAATAACCGGCAAATCATTTTATTCTACATTGAATGTCACCATGAACCACAATTGTGAAATGAAGGGGAATGGTGACCACAGCGGTGGCGCAAAATGCGGATAACTGAATAAAATGAATGAATTAGGTAGGTTATTCTCTGTTTTCCTTTGCCCCCTCTCGCCTTTATTACGTCCTGAGATGTCGGATTTTCTAACCTTTCTTTTCTCATCATGTGTCCTAGATATTTCATTTGCTTCTTTCTGATTCTAAGCAGAAGTGTTCTTTTTTGCTTCCATTTTCCTTAAAATTTCTTCATTGCTTAAATGCTCTGTCTATGGTATTCTCAGCACCATTCCGTAGAACAATATGGTGCTTCAAGTCGACCCCTCATCTGTGAAGAAAATGGCCAGAATTTACTGCCATACAGGATTGATATGACATAACAGATCAGCACTCTTATTTGTTTGCAACGTCACTTTCTTGTTTCCTAATACTTTGCAGAGTTCAAACGTATTTTTCTATATGAGTCGATTCTCTGAAAGTCTTCAAGGTCTAATGTCCTCATCTTTATTGTTATTATCATAACGTTGCAGCTGCCCCCACCCCACGGCTTTATTTAAATGTCTGTCGACCTGGGAAACCTCCTGGGAATTTCGAAGTGGACCATTCCTTAAGTCTACGGGGATAAATTGCTCTCGTCCCGGTGTCCATGTTTAGAGATATTTCGTCATGTTCTTATGTAGTACCGTTCAGTTATTGATCTGCCTGCCCCCCCCATTAACAACAATAATGACGATCAAAAAATGAAGCAAAGAATAACAGGATAAGTGAAGTAAACTCAAAAAATTAATAAGGTAACCAGATCTGGTTAAGATGAAAATCTGTCAATGGATTTTTTGCTGTTGTGAAGAAAGAGTAAAATTAGAAGAAACTTAAGTTCAACTGGGCCATTAATTTCAGAGTAATATTTAATAATAACTTGGTTGATTTTAAATGTCAAAGGAGATTACTCCAGACCTATTAACTACGAATTACAGTTCGGTGGTGTAATGAATAGCGGCCGGGATTGCGTAATTAGAGAGATGAATTTGAATTTCAATAGAGCACATTACATTCATGAATCTATCTCTTCTCCCTCCATCTATGGCTATGACAAAATGGGTTCTATAGCTTTGGGTGGCAACCGGTCTAGGAGAATGGCAACTCTGAATTCAAAACCTGAGTGATTGGCGACTAAACTGGTTTTCCCACAAGACCCCCCAAATTCGGTGAGGGGGTGGGGGTAAGTGGAATTCCAGCAGCAAAAAAAAAAACAGATCTGTTAAATGGTGCATGAATTCCTCAGAGTCAACGGCCATCTACCCTAACAATGGGTTAAACAACCTCACCATACTGTAATTGGCCAAGCATGGTGAGTAAGGCTACACCTCTGAAGATATGGTCAAACAGAGAGAGGTTCCGCCAACGGGAGTTAAAAAGGCTCTGGATTTAGACAGTATAGTTTTCTTTGTAACAAATCAACCCACTTTTTAGTTTGGACTCTTTCAATCAGCCTCTCTACATGTTGTGTGTAGTTTTAGACCTAAAGAAATCTCTTGTCGGAGTTGGCATATAATAATAAACGAGAATTTAAACAGCAAAGCATTAAAATCGTGTATCTGTGCGTATGTAAAGCACATTACTGTAGATTAAGCTTCATACAACGCATATTGTAACTCATGTCAATTATATTAATTATTTTACGTGATAAACAGCAATAAAGCTGAAGTACAGATTGCGTGATAAGAGTCGATAGATTGATTCTTCTTAGGTTTAAGCTATCTATCTATACTTCAACTTGTCTGAGTTTGGTGCAGCAAATACAATTAATATGCATGATGGAGCACAAACACAAGTTTTGTGCGTTGTGACCGACAATAATTTCCTTGATGACCCACACAAAAGAAACCAGTTGTCCTGTGGCTGCAAGTTTTGGTCACCTATGCTGCTTGTACTACGTTGATAGATTTACAGAAGGACACTAGTTACCAACTGACCGTTGGCTCTGAAAAAAAAAGGAAATTCAACGAAACGGATATGAGACAGTTTGCTTCTTTAAGCCTTGAGTTACAAAGAAATGGATGTTAGAAATTTAGAAAGGAAAAGTACAAAGAGAAAGGTCAAGTTAGAATTTTCTCCGATCGGCGCAAACAAATCTTAAAAGGAAGTGTAATATCTAATCGAGAATAGTGGGTAATACAGAAGAAAATAAAAAGCGAAGGGAAGTCGAAGAATTTGTTAATAGCGGTTGACGGAAATTTTCGTAATTTTAATTTTATAGTTCAACTAGGAATGGAAGAAATTTATGCAGTAGTAAATGATTTAACAAATGAAACGTTAAAATATACAGACATTATGAGATAAAAAGAATGCGGAAAAAACATTATTAAATTTACATTCAAGATTCAATATTAGTAATGTAATGTTTCCCACCCTACAACCTCTTTCCCCACTGACGAAACGTCGCATACCTCTCTTTAAGCTGTCGCTATTTCTGTGGCACGCGTTCTAACGAGCAACATTCCTTGGTTTCACCAATTGCAGCTGGGATCCACCATGTGACGCATACAAAGATGAATCAGACTCATCCCATTCGTATTCCATTAGTTAGGAGTAAGTTCCTCTCGGGCAGATTCTTCAGAAGAACTTCCGCTTTGTGGAACAGACTCCAGGCAGGATGTTTTCCCAATAACTGCAATCTTGACCTCTCCAAGTCTAGGATTAAACATTATATTTCCTCCATAACCTCATTAATTTCACTTTTTCTTACGTTCATGCACCACACAGTAACCCTCTAACCTGAGTGGCTCTTGGTCCTTGTCTTGTGTGGACATTTCTATAAAAAATGTATGGAAACGTCCGCAACAAATACTAGAAGAATGAAGAGAGCAAATACTCACACGACACAAAAATAAAGGAACCAAATCTAACCCTTAAACGCAAACAGTTTATAAAAATGAATTTTATAAGAAAACAACATATTTTTACAACACGAACGAACAATAACGAAGAATATGGCAGAGATGAATACCATATTTAATACTGTTTCAAGAATAGTGATAGAATAAAATTTAAAAGGGTAAAACACATGTAAAAAGAATAGCAAACCTGCTTGGGAAATTAGATTCCAAATCAAAGAAACGTGAAATCATTAAGACAACTTAAACAATATCCTCTGAATATTGAGACTAACCGAAAAATACAAAAATAAAATGAAAACCTACTCTAATGGAGGAAATAAAGAAAAGGATAAAAAAGCATAAAGATAGATGAATGAATAATCTATACAAAAAGGCAAAAGTTCCAAAACAATGGAATTACATTTTACAAATACATAAAGATATGAGACAAGACAAAAAATAAATTTCTAAAACGAAACAAGAAACTTAAAACTGCGGAACAGGTGGCGAAAGGAACAGTTGCGTTGGAGGAGGAGGAGGAAAAATTGAATACTTCTAAAATTACAATCTACTTACTCTATCCATTCTGACTGAGAAAATGTATCTTCGAAAACATGACTGGTCAGTGACTTGATGGAAAACCAAAAGATGACATTTTAGAAAATTGCTTAAAAATGAAAACATTAACGTAAACTATGAGAAATCGTATATTGAGGTTCGAGTACAAAAGAATTCTCTGCTTGTTAATTTCTTGCACACACGGAATGAGTCAATAAAAGTCAGGATTAGTCAAGATTATCGTAATAATTATTTATCTGCTGTTTCTTAGCGTCTCTGTTTATTTACATTATTTTCGCGTTATTTTTTCGCACATTTTTGTTGCTTTCTAGAATTCAAAATATTTTCTAGAACATTGCTCCTCTAACAGTTTTAGTTTCCTTTCTTTCACCATGCAGTCAGTTTTAGACCCACTGGAGTGACAGGGTGTAATCAATTTCCATTTTTCCTCAGATTAGGTTATTTGCAGAGGTGTGCAGTAATATAAATCTATTTTCGGGGTATATGATGAAATTTGTTTGTCCTTGAAAAATATTACATCATCCGCGATTGCATCAGATTTTTATCACGCCCGGACGCTATTGTCTGAACTGTCGATTAGTTGTCCTACGGCTATTAGTTTCGATGGATGTTACTCGAAGGAAGCGTACGAAAATTGTAACGCTGCAGGAATACAATGGCAAGCCTTACCAGAGAGCAAATCAAAGTACTAGACTAGCCCGGAAACTCTCCTGATTTAAATCTAATCGAGAATCTGTAGTCAATCTGCAAGGTATATCCCAAGAGTAAATATTTAAATCAGGACAGTTTATTCGTTTAATAAAATTTGATCATTTTGTAAAAGTCTGATTCTATGCACTTGAGTGGATAAACTTGAAATCTTCTTTTTATTATTCACCCTATATGACCTCAATTCAGCGCACTGAGGTAAAAGATTATATTCGAAAAAACATCCATAAAAAAACATATATATCACATATATATATCACATTATGAAATGGACAAAGTCCGACAATTATTTTAAGACATTTTTATGTTTATACATTCTTTTTATAGATACAAATATTTAAGTAAATGCTCTGTTTTATAATAAACAGTATTAAACAACATTTACCGGCCTGAATGTCCGAGAAATTTTCACAGAAAATATTCGTCCTCCGACAGGATTCGAACCTGTATCCTATACGGAACCTTTACCGATTTAGCCACGTCGCTTGTTTATATTTGATACGCCATGAGCAGATATGAATGTACGTGAGAGATTCATAG